AATGTTTCAAGGAAATTATATCACTGGAGGTGTTTTCAATATCAATCTGGTACCGACTATAGTTACTTAAACAAAATGCACAAAAAAACTTTAAGACTACAATCACCTCTAAAAGCTTATGAGGCCAAAAGAGCTCGATTTTCTTAAAACCTGACCCATGCTCGCGATGAGTGTCAACGTGGACGAATCGGGAGATTTGGTCAAGATAACTTTGCCCAGAGGATCCTGTTTGTTGCTCAAGTACGATTGTCTGAGCTGGGCGATCCTCGTCTTTAAAGTGCGCCTTTATTTTGCGTTCCTCGCCAAATTTTAACTCACATATAGTGGACGTTGAGCTTAGAATGGAATACGGTAGAATCTCTTCTCCAAGAATAAGATTCACCAATCTGCTTTTTCCAGAGGACGTCTCGCCTGTAAATACAAACGAGCAGTAATAGACTTTAGTACACACACCTTTCCTGATTTTCCCCATGATGAGATTATCAACAATGATCAGTCTTTTGAAAAAGAAGTTACTTATAGATGCCTCCTGTGATCAACTTTATGATTTGATTAAGTACATTTTTTTTGTAAGAAAATATAAGATAGCAGTTTGTTATTAGTCAATGAAAATTGAATATGCGGCAGAAACCAATAACAAACAGTTTTGACTGCCTCTGATTTCCCTAAACATCTCGCGAAGGCAAACTTTTCAAGGAAAAAGGTCTAATTAGGTTTAATTGGATTGTCGACTTAGCCTGAAGAAGTGTACATAGGGAACCAAGAATTTGAGAAGTAGTGGTTGGGTGAATTTTTTCTAGGTGTAATCATAACACTGTTACCTCTACACATGACGGAATAATTTCTCGTTCCAGGATTTTTGCAGGACATTTATTTCTGAAACCACTCGGACCTCACCCCACCTCAAATGTTCACCCCTCGGTCAGATTGACTTTCTTATTACTGCAGCTTTTGTATTCGCTGAAAATTTTATTTTCAGCTGGTTAAAGCTCATATAAAATAATACATAAATTTAACCAAGGCCAAAAGCGAAGCTCTAGTGGATAACCCCCGCGATATAGCCACGTGAAACTGGTCAGCGGATACGTTTTCACAGCTGTGAATTGACCATAACCCCGGGGGGGGGGGGGATTAACTCGACAGTGCGCTTAGTAATCGAAATTTGGCATAAGGGTAGCTTACTTCTATTGAAAAGGATTGTCTGTGAAGTTAAGGTGGCTTGACTGGCTTTTTGGGGGGGTGGGTGGATACCTCCCAAGTTTGAGCATTAACTACGTCGACATGAGTAAAGATATGGGAAAAAGGTTACCACAACTGTATTATATAAGGATGAGAATTTGTTATGATCTGGGTTTTATTGCAGTCGGAGTCGCCATGGCAACGTTACGACGCCATGACGTTTTTTATTTATCTTTGTGTTTCTCTGTACCAGGATTTATTTTTAATAAATCGCTTGAGGGAGTTTGTACCTGCCATAATTGCCTCAATTTGGCAAAGTTTGAACAAATTCTGTGAGAGCGTTTTCGGAATATTTTGAAACGAAGTTTTAAGAATCATAAAAAACAGTGAAATGGCACGCTATCCACAGAATTAGTTAATGTTTTAAGAAAATGATAAGCTTTGGAAACGTGGCTTCATCTCAGCGTGGTTTGATTCCATTGAAAACTGCGTACAAAAAAGAAGAGGGGAATTGCTCTTAGCGATCGCAAGTAAGAAGAATCTTATTAACTTGCATTCAGCTGTTTCGCATTTTTTTAAAAAGCCGCTCGATAAATTGTTTTCAAGTTTCAAATGCACGTGTACAACTAGCAAAAGAAATAAGTTTGCATCAAAAAGAACTCTCGATTAATTTCCAAAGAAATATCCGGAATATGCTAATAATTGGCTTGTGCCACAGAAAGCACTGAGAACCGAAACGGTGAACGTCACGGCTCATCGTGTAGGATGTAATACTTAATTATCGTACTCGAGTTATAACATCACAGAAACTCTTACAAAGAGTTGCTGTGATGTTATAATATATCACTAATTTCTTTACCCAGTTATTAGCATATTCCAGGGCTTTAACCGAGGGTCTTTTTTTATGCAAATTCTATCTTTCTGCTAAGTGTGCACGTGCATATGAAACTTGAAAACAAATATGCCAGTGAGTAATGAGGACGCTCACTTGTAAACACAAAGTCTGGGGCGAAAATTGGTTATATTTGAGGCCCTATTTGAAAGCCTCCCCTGTTTTCAATGTTCTTGAAAATTGCAGGGTATATTTATTGAGGTCCGTGATCAGTTTTTAAAAAACTTTGGTTTTCCCATACATTTCCTGTAATTCGAAAGTATCAAATTTTCAAAAATGTATGAAAGAATTGAGGTTTTCTAAAAACTGATCACGGACTTTTTTGCACTCCAGATTTAGTGTATTGTTTCTTTGAACTCGTAAGTTACTCTTTTCGAAAAGAAAGCATCAAATATATGAATTCAGGAAGAATTTGCTGGCTTCGAATTC